CTTTTTTACAACTTTTCAAAATCTACACATATTCTAAAGTGTATATATATATATTTAAATGGTGATAATAATTTACAATGCTAAAAAATTAATCAACTTCATATAATTTTTAATGAAGCTTTAGCAGTATTATATGAATTGAAGCTGATACATTTTGTCATCACCTTATACATTATTCGGACTATTGTCCTCATCTTTGTTGCCATATTTATTGCAACATTTCACCTGGTGTACGCTCTGGATTTCTTCAGGTGGTTGGAATGTTGAACTGAAGCCTTTATTTTGCTCACTGAGGTAGATTGTTCTAGTTCCACGTGCCATGTCTAATGGATGTCAATTATCAGTTATCTCATGTTAATTCCCCTCTCCAAGTTTTCCACCATCTTAACCAGGTATTGAACTCACACTCTTTGGGTCTTGTCACTGGATCTAACTAACACCTTTATCCACTGTGCCATGTGTCCTTATTACTGGTTCCCATATTGTATTCATTTCTATGCTTAGTCGGCTCAGAAGATTTCTGTGGCCTAGCATATGTGCTGATTTCTTAAGTTTACAAATTTTCCAATGGTGTTCTTTGTCTATGATCTCAACCTGATCCCACAGAGGGTGGTGATCTCCCTTTTCTCTCCATATGTGGTGAGCCACACCAGATTTTTCCACTTCCCCTCATGTTACAGCTTTCTGGTATTGTTGAAGCCTTACCTTAAGGGGGCAGCCTGTCTCCCCTTTATATTTCTTTCTGCAGCTGCACCGAATAGCATACACAGTCTTTAATCATGTTCTCCTCTATGGAGTGGGGGTTTTACTCAGGAGAGATATCTGTGAAGTGCCATCCAGCTTTTGAAGGTTGTCCTAATGTTATATGGACCACAGATTATTTGTATTTTCTCTGATAACCCCTTCACATAAGGCAGGCAGACTGTTTTCTGAGTGTTGTTGTCCTCCTCTTGTATCTGCCTATCCCAGTTTTTTGAAAAACTAAAACAGTCTACCCCAGTGAACGGAAATAAAGGGTTCAGTTTGACATTGCAACCACCTGAAGATAGCAGGAGCATACAACAGCCGAAATGTTGTAATAAATATGGTGACAAAGATGAGGACAATAGTCTGAATAATGTAAATAGTGTACATAATACCTCATCTCAGAAATATAGACAGATACATTTTGCTTCAATCTAGATCTTTTTCTTGATTCACTCTACATCAAAACCTGTCATCTGGATTTGAATACTAAGAAAACAAAATTAAAAATAAAATGTTGCTCGATGCAAGGGCTCCGAGCAGCACATATGGCTCCCAAAACAAATCCCCTTCAAAAATATTATGAAATAAAATATAAAAAGAGCCAATCAGGTATGTTACCACTAAAGCAAAAGGCATGACAAAAAACACTGAGTTATGATCCATCCTATCTGCTTTTAAGAAAACTGCTCACAACACTGTTTGGTAGTCATGGACTGGCAGGCAAACAGTTTCCATTACCCCAATAGACACAAGCAACAACTTCAGGCCCTCTCAACCTTTTCCATCCCCTAGGTCACTATCCTCAGCCACAAAGAGATATTCTGCATTGATCCTCTATATCAACAATACAAAGTATCTTAACAATTCTTATCTATTTTATTTATTTTATCTATTTTGCCTTACCAGCACTATTTGTCATTTTGCACATTCTCTCATGCTACCATGTGTGTTTTTGTAACAATTTTAGTTTTGATCAAATGGGGAATTTCTCAGGAAGAAACTGCAATCAAGATGAAATGAGAAATATCAGCTTTTAATAAAATTTTCAATCTGAGAATAAACTTAAATATATGCTTATATATAGTTGTTGCTTACACTAGTTGCAACACTATACACCTTGGTTGTAATGACAACAAATGTGACATTCCGAGTTCAAGAATTTCAGTCAAAGCAGCATCAAATGGAAAACTATCTCTACTCTTCTAGTCATCTCAAATTAAAGAATTACGATGAATTTGAGAAGGTTGCTATCCAGAGCTCATTATACCTGGTTGAATATCCTCCTTTGTCTTGATTCTGAAGAGGTCTTCTGCAGAGGGTTGAAACATCAGAAACTCCAAACTGGGCTAGTATCAAACAATCACAGTTTGAACTTATTTCCTGAGTTGGAGTAGGGCACAAAATGATGGCATGAAAGAATTGAAGTATATTTTTCAAAAGAAAGCAAATGTCATCTTCATTCATCATTTCTACAAGCAATGAAGTTAAATGTTTCTTTCCTAGTATTTGATCAACCGATTAGATTCTTGCAGTTCTACCATTGGAGTGTAGTGAGTGCAAAATAATAATTCTCTTCACCCACACCCTTCAAATTTGGAAGAAGGAGGAAAGAAATTTATGAGCCTATATGAAATTTTTTTTAGAACACAGAAAACTATGCCTTCACAGAAATTAGCTGGTCAGCCAAGAAGAAAGAGGAAATAAATTCACAGACCTATCTACTTTTGATATAAAATGAGAAAAATGAAATTAATAAAAGAAGAGTGTCTGAATTCATGTGAAAAGTTTTCCTTGAAACTAGTGTTGAAGTTTTTGCCAGTGTAAAATTATTTGACAATTATATTATTGGACTCTAACCAAGTACACGGTTAGAATTTTCTCTCAACAATCCAAGAATGCTGAGTATTTTAAACTATCTCTCATTATCTACTTTTGAAAGTATGCAACCTATATATCCCTTCAGTGAGCAATAAATTCTTTTAACTTTGTTGTAAACATTTTTTAATATTATTTTATATCAGATCATTTAATCTGTTGTATGAACATTACTTCTTCATGACACTACTTTAAAACTATGGACTTTAAGAATTCTGATTTATTTTCCTGAAATGAGCTACCAACACTACCTCAAGCATTATAAATTTGTCAATATATTCCTCATTTTGTTTTGTTAAAATTACCCATGTTTCCTAGTCATTATCATCCTTCATAATTCTTCTTGGCATGAGTAAATCAACTGTTCATTTTAACCCCTAAGCCACACACCACTATAGGAGAACCAGTCTGTGTTTGCATATTCATTCTAGTCTGCTCACATTGACAGTTTCGTTTTCCTTTTGCTAGCTCAAAACTTGAACTGGTGACATTCTCTGTCTGAATCTGTGGAAGAGGGAAAATAAATTAATAAATAAAATTATAATAAAAAATGAAGAATTTCATTTCCTCATAATGCAAAGCAAGAAAGGAAACCAAAAAGGGTTTCCAGTCACGTGCAAAATTTATAAGCCCAATTCCAGAATGATCATTCTATTTTCACTTTCCATGTTTGGTAGCTGTGCCAACAAAAGGGAGATTCAGTCATACACATTCACCTTTAGACTGACTTGAGGTTGACCATTCTCTATACATCCACATCTTGTACCTATGTGTGTCAATAAACATTTTCTAATCAAGTTTTAATTTTTTTTTTATTGCTGTCCACCAACATTCAACTTCTGTTAGTGGAACAAAGTCAAATACTCTCTACAAATCCAATCATCATTTATTTCAATTTTCAAAATGATTGCTTTTTGTGAACTTCACAACCATGATTTTGCAAGCAAAATCAAATCATTAATCTCTTTTTTACAATGGTTTCTTTGTTTACAAGTGCTACTCAAAAGTTCTTGATTTGAAAATTACTCTCAGAATTTATATATTTTTTATAAATTTCCTTAAAATAAACATTTTCAGATAGTAGTTTGTAAAGGCCAGATTGTAGATAGACCAATACTATTTATATTAACGATATTGCCAATGTACAGGATTCAAGTAAACAACAATAACTCCAAATTGTTAATTAACAAATATATATTGAAATAACATACAAGAACAAACATGCAATAAAATTGTTTTCAATGTATAGATTAAAGGAAAGAAGTTGTTCCCCTTTAACTGTAGAATGATTGTTCGAAGAAAGTTCTCTTGTATGTTCAAAAATCAATATTAAAGCAAAGTTTGCATGTTAAGAATAAATAACACAAGAATACAATTAAGTAAAAATGTGTTGTGTTATAGAATGTTTTGAATCAACAGAGTTCTGGTTGATTGAACTTGGCAAAGTCACAGAGAGAAATGTAAGTTTATATTACGAAATTCTGTGTCTGTGTTTGAAATGTGACAAGTAAGATCGTGGATTTGTGCTGACGGCTGGAATCTTATGGGATCTTACTGACGACTTGTGAAAAATCGCCCCTTTTAAGAAAAAAGTGTAGGCTCCCACAGAAACATAGGAAAACTTAATCTTGCACTAAAATATATGATTGGTTAAAAATTAACCAATCACTACTTCTCATACTAACAGAATAAGCAAGCAAGCTCAAAACCAAAGATTCAAAGAAACGACTGCAATGGCTAAACTGCGATTGGCTAATAAATCACTACTACTTTTATATATAAAAGTAGTAGTGATTTATTAGCCAATTGCAGGCAAATAAAATGTGGGTGTGGAAAAACATAGCAACTGCTACAAGTTTAAGAAAACGACTTTTTAGCAATGGAATCTTTTTCTCTGGAACCAATCACCTGTCAGAGCTCATACCTGTCCTTCAATGTTTTGCTAGTTATATTCAATCTTCCTGAATTTCCTCAAGTTGAATTTGGGTTTAATCTCCAAAGAGTTTTAAATTCAAATTCACTGATTAAACCAAATTATGATTTTTAATTTTGTTTAGTAGAATTCTATAAAAACAAAACTCATATTTACTCTGTTGTATTGTTTAAACCAAGTCATGCTAATCATAATAAAATATACACATATATAGATATAATTTCAGTTTGGTCTATATTTGTAATGTATTTTATCCTATTTTTTTGTTTTGGAATAGTGTAAAAAAAAACAATTTAATAAAATAAAAATATCTGTTAATTACTATTTTCTCAAATTACTCAGGAAGTTATTCCAGTAATTTTTTAAAATTCAATTGCTAAGGGAGACAACCACAAATTTATTTAACGCTCTCGTTTTGTAATCGGGATACATGCAAAGAGTAGCTATGGCTTATGATCTGGATGAAAATACCACTCAAGATCTTAGTGCAAGCTTATTGGTTTTGGCTACTTATTCGAATTTCTATTCCATCGTCACTGTTCTTGTTTGTTTCATCATCACAGTTGTCTTTATACTAAGGTAATCATTTTATTTTCACATGAATGATGACACACTAAGTGACTAAATGAAATAATTGACATTAAAAGATACAAAATCCTACTTTATTTACAGGGCAGTGCGTCCTATTTTAAATTTAAATTCATTTTACTTTTTCACTTTACGTTTGCAAGTGTAATAATTTTTTAGACTTACTCTTAAAAACAATAACATTCAATAATAAAGTTAATCTCCGCTCTGCCCAAATTTAAAACAATTGCAAAATAGTGGCTTATTATTAAATAATCATAAAAAAATGCACTGACCGAATACAACACATACAAAAAACAAAATTCAGTAATTTTATTCTTAATGTTAGATTGCCGTCTGAATAAATTTGATTTTTACGACAGCTTTCTTTGTTTTTTTTAAGAATTAATGAATTTTTAATAAGCATGATTTTGAATTTTTTTTTTTTTAACAGATTTCGAAAAATGTTCCCTGAAAAAAACAAAACAAACAAACAATCTTTCTTTCACTGAATAATGTCCATTGAGTTTTTTTTATTATTATTATTTCATATTGACTAGAGATTTACGTTTCTGGTTGCTATCCCAATAACGCAAAAAAAAAAAAAGTAACGCAATAACGGTTAAAGTAGCGTATTGCATTGAATAATGATACTACTCTTGCTCTTCCTTAAGAAAGTAAAAGTGCTAAAAATTCATTCTTAATCTTAAAGTTTATTAATTTTATTTTTATTGAAAATAGTTTGATATTTTCTTTTATAAAACATTTAGTAATTTCTACTCAGACTGTTTTAACTGCCAATGTTTACATTTCCTTCTTTTTTTTTTTTTTGGAAGGAAAATTAATAACAAAGCAGAAAAAATGTTTTGTCCTTTAGGACTTCATCAGACGAAAATGATATTTTTACGACGTTGATAGAACTGCACATGCGCACGAAAAGGGGCGGGGAGATACGCTGAAATTTTAAACCTCATTTTTTTTTATCTTTTGCTAGCCGATTTCATTTAGTTTCTTTGTTTTTATTAATTATCCCACATTGTAATAAGAAGACATGCAAAGAAAGGAAAAACCTGCACGCAAATTTACGATTGATGATCTAAATTACTTTCTCTTTTAAATTAAATTAAAACTAACATTATTTTTAAAATCAAAATTATGGTCAGACTTATGGTGAGCAACTAATACACTGAGCGTTTTTTTTTGTTTTTTTTTTTTTAATTTCTTGAGGTTTCTAATCAATTCCTTGAGGCAATAGATGGTAGAGTAAATTCTCCTTTGAGTTCACCCCATGCAAGGCAGTAAAAAACCATGATGCACAAGGGGTTACTTGTGGAAGAATTAGAAAACATCAACATTACTAAGGAATGAGAACAAAAAAGTAATCAGGAGGACAGTAGATAGCGCATTACATTTAAATTTTTGAAGATTAAAGTTTGCTGGAAAGCACAGAGCCAGAAAGGTGTTCACAAGAAACTATTGATATAGAATTTATGGTTACATCTAGCCAGCTCAACTGTAAATTGATGAGTCTTCATTACCAGTTTAGTCTTTTCTTCTTTTATATGCCATGTCACTTCAGATGGTAGGTGATTATGGCCTTCTACCCCCTCCTGTCCCTTGTAGCTCTTAATAAGTTTTATCTTTTTTGTTATTTCTCCTGTTCTGCCATCTATTTGCAATAAGTATGTCACACTTTCCCCTGTCCCTCTATCTGTCCTGTGAGCATAATTTTCAAAGCCCTCTTTCCTCATTATGTGTCCCCAAAATTTCAGATGCCTCTTACTGATGTTAAGTATAATTTTCCTCTTTGTTTTCATTCTCTCCAAAACCTCATCGTTGCTCACTTGTTAAGTCCATGGTATTGTGGACTCATCCATTATCCTTACCTTTCCAACCTAACAAAAGCAGAGTCCAAAACGTACGCCTACGTACCTAAAAGCTTCAACCAATAGAAAATGGCTTAAAATCGAAGCAAGCAACTCCATTGGTCAATCGTTTACAGAAAACAGAAATTGCGCCAAAACGAGTTGAGCCACTTTTGAAACTCAAATAATATAAAAGGAAAAGCAGACAGCCCCATACAGAGAAGGGAGAAAGCGAGCTGTAATTACCAACTTTCAAGATGTAACATTTCATTAAACTCCGTCTTAGTCATCGCTGACCAGACGTTAAAGAAAAATTACCAACTTCATTCAGTCAGTCTCGCTAACTCACGAAAGTAATTGCTAAAATACTTTGTTGACGTTTTCGAACCATAATTTTGCCGATTTTCAAAGAACATTCACTGACTCACTCTGAACATTGGGATTTAACGAATTCTTGAACCTTTTACTTAGTTCCTTATATATAATGAATTATATTCATTACTAAGATAAGGAATACAAAACGATTAAGGGTAGACTACTTGAACAAACTCTTTTTCAGAACCTTTAAATTTCACTATCACAATCTTCGACACAAACAAGAAATTAACGAACATTCTTAAACAAGAGACATTCATTATTTCAAACATACACATACAACTTACGCACACAATTCACACAGATTTTATTCCAGATTGTAAATGACCAATTGTATATAAATGTATTGTTTTTAATCTATATATGTCTCGTTTTTCTTGCTTTGAACATAACGATTGTTTGTTTATTTGTTTGGGACGCAGTGAAACACACAACCATTAACAACAAATCCTTCTGATAGATTTAACGACACTAATGTCCCAACAGTATCCTTAGCATCCATCTGTAGAACCAAGTCTCTTCTTCATCTTTGAGGAGATTGTCCAACATTCATGCAAGTTTTACATCATATCTGTCCTCCATGCAGAACACTTCTCAGATATTTAAATTTCTGTACCTGCTTGATTTTAGTGTCCTCAAACTTGCATTTTGGACTCATCTTTTGTCTGATGACCATGCATCCTGTCTTCCTGTAGTGTATACTTAGTCCCTTCTCACTCTCCTTTGCTATCTTTTGTAGGAGGTTTTTTACTTTCCATGTCTGCTATTAGCACTGTGTCATCTGCATATCTTGCGTTGTTAAGATTGTTGCTGCCAATGATAAATCCTGGTTGGATTTCCAGTTCTCTCAGAATTGCCTCCTGTATGGCTTGAATAAGATATATCCTTGCCTTACACCCATTTCTATTTTGTATATCTGCTGAACTCTTTTTTTTATTTGTATTCAGGTGGTTTGCTGTCAGTTGAGATTTTTTGATTATTCTAATGTCTTTATTGAATATGTCAATGTTGCTGAGCAGCTTTAACAGATCTTTGTGGCATACTTTGTCAAACATCTTTGCATAGTCTATAAAACACAGGTACACATTCTTCTGCATTTGTATTCCTCTTTCTGATAACATCCTGAGCATAAATATCACATTCCTTTCACCGTGGAAGAGATCTCCAGTATATTCATTCCAGCACTGAAGATTTTTTTCTTTCACTAATATGAGCATTCTGTCCTTGGATTTTATGCAGCCTGTTGATGAACATGTCTTCTGTCTTGTTAGTTCCTTTATTTTTTATGTAAATCTCCTTTATCTGTGATACTCATTCTATTTCTGTAAATTTTTCGTTGAACCTACATGCATTTTTTCCTTGTTGTGTAGTTTTCTGTATTCTGTTCCATGTCTTGGCATTGTTTTCTGTCTACTTTGCATCATGTCAAGAATCTTATCTGTGATCCATTCATTCTTTCTTCTTCACTCATCTTCCTTTGGGATGATGTCACTAAACTTTTCTTAGTCTGTTCCATTTCATGTTTCCAATTTGTCCCTCATATCATCTTTTCACACTGTCCATATACTTTTCCTTCAGGTTCAGGTCATTCAGGAGTCTGTTGCATTGCAATTTCGGTTCTATGTTAGGCTTCTTCAGTTTCTATAGTTTCACTCTTAGTTTACATATAACTGGAAGGTGGTCGCTTCTGCAGCCAGCACTTGGATAGGTTTTGCAGTGGACAACTGCATTCCTGAATCTTTTGTTGATAGTTATGTAGTCAACATAGTTTTTAGTTTCTCCTTCCTAAGCTTCTCCATGTCCATAATCGTGTTGGCTATTACTTGGTCATTGGCCATACACCATTAGACCAATTTTTCTTTACATTTGTTGTGGGTTTCTTCCTTGTCTGAATTTGCAAGCTAACTTACCTGCCTACTCTAGCATTCAGATCTCCCATGATAATTATAACTTGTGATTTGCACTGAGCCATAGCATTGTCTAACATGGAGTAGGAAGATTTGATTTCTTCTTCAATTCTTTGTGCTGTTGGGCATAAACTATTATGACAGATATGTTGAAAAGCATTCCTTTCAGTTTAACTGCAATAATTCTTTTAGATAATTGACATCTTAGAAGACATTTCATGATGTCTTGATCTAGTATCAATTCAACTCCTTTTTCATTTTTCTCTGTCTGTGGTTTTCACTGACAAAATCTCTGTTGTTTGGCCACCTAGTTTCACATACAATTAAAATGTTAACATTTAACCTACTCATCTCCTGTTTTAAATTTTCCAACTGGCCACATTGATTTGAGTTTGTCAACCTAGTTTTCATGCCCCTGTGATCATCAGCTGACGATCACAATTGCATGAAACCCAGTGTCGCAAACTCAAATCAATCCAACTATATATATATATATATATATATATATATATATATATGTATGTATGTATGTATGTATGTATGTATGTATATATATATATATAGAGAGAGAGAGAGAGAAATAATTAGGAGGATTTGAAATAATCACAAGTAATTCATCAAGTCTAGAAGAAACCTCAACAGAATGCAGAAAGCACTGGACAGTCATTTCGTCCTTGGGACTTAGCAGCCGTGCACATCCACTACCGAGAATTGGAACCCAAACAGTTATGATAGAACGCAAATGCCATACCAACTGTACCAACGGTTCTCAGTGACGAAGAGGTAACGAATTAGACTTAATATAGCACTGCTTGATCACAAATTCCGTGGTGGAACTTCTCCGAGTTTCTCTTTTACTCATAGG